GCTCTGCAGGGCGGGGGAAGGCTTATAAAGCCTTGCCACGCCCTGCAATTAGGCTAAGAACACTCTGATTGGCTGCTTTAAGCCAATCAGAGTGCTCTTTGTCATTTTACACAGCGTGGGAAAATTCAAAAGAACTTTCCCACGCTGTGTAAAATGACACAGAGCACTGTGATTGGATGGCTTGAAATATGGCTTGAAATACCCCAGAAAATATAAAGCAGATATAAATGTTTTCATTGGGAGTATATCTACTAAACTGTAAAACCTAAAAAAAAAAAAGAAAAAATCCAGCAGAATGTTCTTTGATGAGATTACATATCATTGGAAAGTGTTACATTTCCAAAAAACAAAGTACTTGAAAATAAGCAAGAATTGAAGTCGCAGGATAAATATCTAAGGACAGCGTAAATAATGCTTTATAGAAAGAAGAATGTTTATCTTTAACAGCATTACGGTGGAAGAACTAGAGCTATGCAATAATTCATGAATATATATGTAGAATGTGAATAAGGTTATCCTAAAGAACAAATATGCAAACTAAGTTTTGTGTTTTAAATGGGCAAAGTACTAAGGTCTACTAGTTCTTATCTGTAATCAAAATCTGAGTTTGCTTCTATCTTAACCCATCTTGCTTAGAAAAACTGTTATGCACAGTGAGGTTAAGCGGTATCTCATAGATGGTTGCATGGTAATGCTGATATAAGCCGGGAGACAAGCTTGTTTTTCTAATGAGGCCATTGTGTTGCTGTTTTCATTCAGTACCTTTTTTGATGGATGTCAGCAGAGTTAGGCTCTTGTTAGCTGTTCTAGTTTTGAAGTGCTTTTTCTAAGAAGATTTTTGAATATTTTGCTTGTCAAATGTACCTGTGATCCTCCCACACAGATTATTTTTCTCCACCACTGTTATAAAAGCAATTTTTTTTTATTTAGAAAGAATAAATCTATAAGGTTTTTCTCTATTCCATCTTTTATTCTTTTTTGGCATGATAACTTGGTAAATATGATTGGCATAATAGTGCTGTTGATTACCTGTCATCGGTGATGTAAAAATTGTTCCATTTAAATTCAGATGTGTTTATTGTAAGCTCTTAGTGTATGATTTCTCAAACTTTCGCTAAAAAACACTCCTAAATTAAAAAACAAATTTATGTAATTACCAATTATCTGTATGTAGATGTGCAAAGGATACATTTGCAGTCATTTAAACTTTATTCTGCAAACTTACTCATTAAGTTATATTTCTAGGACATTAGAGACATGAATACAGGATTTCATATGCCTCACCGATAAAGAGCAATATTTTACATATTTACCAAATCACTATTCCATAACAAAAACGTGCAACGTATAGAGTAAGGAATACACTAAAAGAGGGAAATAATACAGCTGTTTTAGGTCCCCTGTCAAAAGTTGGTATTTTAAATAATTTATTACACACTTTCAAATATAAATATCAGCAATGTTTTTATTAGACTTTATTAAAGATACAGTGGAAAGACATTCTTAAAATTGCCTTCCTCTGAGTGTATGGATTTTAAGAATTTTAACATGGTGTTGGATGGCACATTAAGACTGCTGCCCAGCAACATTTCCATTTCCATAAGTTGCCAAGGAAAAAGTAATTGGTCATTTGAAGAAAGAATGCATGCCGTATGAATATCTTTTTTTAAATAATTCCTTTTCAACATAATTTTATACTTATAAACTGCAGGACAGAACATTTCCGATTATCTTGTATAGAGTATATAGAATGTATCTAGGAAAAAAGAGGGTAGGGTTGAAAACCCTCTTGGGTGTTTTATAACTGGTTTGCATAATTCTTCTGCCTGTCTGTATAATTTTACCATTACAAATTTTTACCTTTCTGGGCGTATTTCCCTTCTCCCAGTCTTTGTTCACCACTCTTAGAACTCTGGTTTTATTCTGGTTACTCTTTTTTTTCTGTCCCCGTTTTTCCACTAACCTGATAGTTGACAGGTGAACAACATCTGTTGATACAGAATATACCCCAAAGAACTGTAAAGGTATTGATAAATGACTACTGTTCCAAAAAATCTTAACACATGTATAGTATGGGGCAATTCCATAATTTTCAATAGAGGTTATTGCTACTTAAGTTTATCACTAAGTACATGGGCTTATGGCTCTT